TTCTTTGTTGAGATATTCTTGAAAACAATATTGGATATCATAGTAGTTGGATTATTATTATTATTATTATCCATGATCCCTACTACGAACGTCACCCCTCACCTTGACTTAGCAAAGACTTACCCAGAGAGATTTTATTTTCCATCAATATCTTATCAGCAACTTCTTTCAATTCGTCCCGRTAACCAGCGAGTTTCTTGGCATAGTGAGTCACGTTGAAAGGAATGATTACTGAGTCAGCCAGGTTCAGTGTCACTAGAGCCCAGACCCGTGCAGTCGCTTGATGGTACTTGAAGGTTGGGTCGATTAACTTTGATACCAGTCGATATGTATCGTGAAGAGTGTGGTACAAAGGATTACCAGCACCTTCAGCCTGAATTACAAAGATATAATTGATTGAAATAGAGTTTTTCATAGCAAATTTCGTAGGAATTAAAATGTTAAGGTACCGTCGTGACGTGATCCAGCATACTGATTGCATGGGCAAAAAGTAATCTTGCATTGTGATTGGCTCACGATCAACAAATGGCAAACGAATTCTACTCTGTTTTTGCTATTAGTGGAATATGCGTACGATACTGACTTATAGCACGTACACGGTACGACATGCCGTACCACTAAAAGGGCTTCCCATAAGAATGGTTATCGTGTGAGTGGGAAACATACAGTACTGAACTACAGCAGGTACACAGTACCGCATGTCGTAACACTGAAATGGCTTCTCAATGTCTTTGAGTATATATCCAATCACAACGCGTAGTTACGGATCAATAAGATAGACTTTGGTGCATCGTTATATTTGAAAAACTGCGATGATTAATATATACTCACTTTATCAAATGAATACCTAATATCCATACTGGTCAATCCCATCATGTTATAGAATGCGGTATAGTCACTGACGCCCGCTATCAATCTTGTTATACTATAGCGACCAGGAATTAATCAAGGAAACAATAGATTTCAATCATTAACTTGTTGCAAGCATCCTAGCTACTTACTGTATTGAAAGAATATCTAATGTCCATACTAGGCACTCCTATCATGTGATAAAATGTACTGTAGTCACTGTCTGTGCACATTCTTGAGATTCTGGTGACGTGGAAATGGACATGTGGAAATAAGACTATGTTAATGCATATGAGACGAGCGACGATACAGTAATACACGTGACCGAGAACACTGGGATGTACAAAAATGTACTGACAAAATGCGAGAGATAATGATTCAAAGAAAGAGATATAAAGGTTAATGGTTACGATGAAAGTGATGGTGGTGGTGGTGGTGGTGGTG